GGCTGACTTCTGATGCCTTTGCTGTAGATGTAGCATGCAACAACCGGGCGTCCCCTTCGGAATGGCGCTCGTGGGGTCCATGAGGTCCGCCGACCGATTTGCGCCAGCCATGATGCCAGTCACCGATGGGAAGTAGAGACCCATCATGTTCACGAAGCTGTACCTCACGTACGATCTGGAGATATGTATAGACTGTATAGCAGACACACCATCCAGGTCAGATTCAGAAATATGGTAGACGACAAATGTTCTTGTAAACCCGCGTGATATCCTACCTACCACGGCGAAGGAAATGGCAGGCGAAGTGGTTCAGGACGTGGCCAGGGATGTTAAGGGCTGAGGGAAAACGGGCATCCATACAAAAACCCTCAACCCTCCAAGGGGATGAGGCGGTGCAAAGTCCGAAAGAGCTGCGAAAACAGAAACCCCAAAAGGTAGATACCTGACCAGGAGACGTAGAGTGGGTAACTCCGAAGCATAGGAGTGCCCCAAACCCGAAGCCCTGCGTGAGATGGTGGTGCAGAATTGGTTGGTCGCTGAATCGCCTTGCTCGAATCGCCACTGCTTGAAAGGTAAACAAGCTTGGTACTTGAATCGGCAGGGCTTCGATGACGTGCTTGAACTGCGAGCGACGTAAGTGACTCTAGTCAGGCTTGAACCGCACCCGCTCGGCTCGCAAATGCACTGTTTCGGCTTGTGCCTCGTTGCCTCGTCCGGGTCTCGAGAATCCGTGGAGCTCTCGGCCCTGCAGCCTGCAAAGCCTTCTGAAAAGATCCCCCGGCGATGCATGCCTGCTGCCACACGAATCCAGACACTGGGTGCTAAAAACTAGTCAGTCGATCACTTCAAAGCCCAGCACCATGATACTACTACATGCCACCCAAAAAAAGAAGCTCCTTGCAGTCCAAAGCGGCTGAGTGGTGTCCTTGGGAAAAGCACCCTGAGGGGCATCCCACGCAGAAGCCCAGTTGTCCGAGAAGGAAGCCCCAGACGGGCCTCTCTTGCATGTCTCTGTCCGATCTGCTGCCGTAGGAAACGGAGATATAACCCCGCGGCCTGTCCAAGAGAGCGTCTTCTGAACCGTCGAGCCATCCGCAGTGACCAGGTCAACCTGAGCTGGGACCACGCTCCACCGCTTCCAATTCGCTTGCGCTTGCCCGAGCGGCTATGAACGTCGCCGGCCGTGTCTCATTTGGGCCCATCAAGCAGCCCACGTACATGCAGAGGATCACAAACCTGGGATCCAAAATCAGAACCTGTCAGAGGAGACCCGATCAAGTGCACTGGATCCGAGCGCCCGACAACACCACCATGAGGAAAACCGTTCCCAAGCGTGAGACATACCTTGCAGTTTCAGCTGTGGTAGAAACAGAAGCTGGATCAACGACGGCCCAGGCCAAGGTGCTTGATTCCACCAAAGATGATGACTACCGCGAAGACTAGGATCAAGTAGCCCGTCAGGCGAACATTGTTCAAGTCTCCGATCTCTCCAATCCTGGGCCAGAAATAACCGCGCCAATGCTCCCAACTACGTGGGCCTTCTTGCAGATTAGGGGCTGGTAATCTGGTTGTGCTATCTCCCAAGCCTCTACACCTCAGCAGCACGGAGCTTTCTCTGTCTTTTGAAGAAGGCTCGTGTCCATTCGCCGGGTGGCAACCCATGAAGTACATGGCTGCTCCGATGGAGTTAGCCTCAGGAGCACCAAGCAGCAAAACGCTTCGGCTGCCAGGCTCACATTCGATCGTGTATCTCGCCGGAATCCCGGAATGTCGGGCGCGATGGACGGAAACGATAGTATAAGCCGGATCCGACCATGCAATGATGCAAGAAGCTGTCGCTAGAAAAAGGAGGACACCGACCAGCCGCAGTAGGCGCTTCAATGCAAAGTGACCCGCGGCTAGGGACATGCTTCATGCTACATCTACCTCACCACAGCTCGACCACAAGGAAAGCTACCCCCGAGTCGAATGAAAAAACGGACGAATGTAGCAAATGTCCTGGACGCCGAAATTTCAGCCCAAGAAGCTTGAAGCCAAAAACAAGTCCCGCAAGGTCGGACCAGAGGAAGCACGCAAGTCCAAGAACGAGAAGGGATCCGACCGCACGGGTGCAATATCCAGACTTGAGCGCAAACACCACGTCAGGCTAATTCGAAGGCTGGCGGTACAACACATCAGAAAATTCGGAGAGTTCTTTCGAGTGCTGCAAGCAGCACTCAATGCAGTGAGCATGACATGCTCGGCAGAAGCTGCCACCAGGAGGCCATGTAGAAGCAAAGCCCCACTCCAGCACCCAAGGCCGGTCCCAACGACCGCGAGATCCTGAGATGCGACCAGACAAGATGTAGCCTTCCCTCTTCCCTCCCTTCCTTGCACTAGCTGCATTCAGGAGTCAAGTAGTACGCGCCGCCACCGGCGATCTTTCCATTCGTAGCAATTGCGGAGAGGCTGAGCGTTGTCAGGAATGTACATGTGCCTGACACAGGCACCAGAAAAGAGCAGTGCTGTCTGAGGAGCACAAACACTTGTGTCTGCGAGTCTGTTTGCGACCGATTTGCAACAAACCAAGCCCACGCCAAAAGCTTCGAGAATGCCTCCCTTGCCAACTATCCTGAGAGCACTTGCGCAGTCTGCAACAAGTCCTTGGGAGCTGACAAGACTGTTGCCAGAGTGCCAGGGCCCACGTAGGAAGAGAATCACTCCGAGGATATTCCCCATGCACGGGAAGATGACCCCTGTGCAACAATCATGGGAAAGCGATTGTAGAATCACGATAGGCGCTTGAGTCGAGCCGAGCACGAGGGGAAGGCTCTGGTCTCTGGTGTTAGTCCTGTTGATACAACAACATTACGGCTTCGTCCAGCGGAAAGCAGTTGTGCAGGCAGATACTGATACCTCGACCTTTGTCTGGAGGCTTCATGACGTGGAGGGTTGTCAATGATCCTTCTTCCAATTGCGCCGGATGTTCAATCTTCTTTACCGAGAACAAAACAGAGCACGAGTAGGATCTTAGCGGCAGCTGACTTGCAGATGGTGGCTGTCTGCTGTTTGGCCGCTGCTAGCCGCTAGCATGCCCTGCCTTGAACCATGCCCAACGTGCCGCGCACCGCACCCTGCAGAAACAAGCGTCAAGCGACGGGGATCCAAGCCGAGTTTTGGCATGCCTCGTGCCAATTCACTGTTTGTTGTGCAAATGTCTTGGCTTCCCGCCTGCATGTCAGCCGCATAATTGTGCACGGTTGCCTTGGCAAATGTTTGCACAGGAAAACACCGCGGCTTTCGTAGATGGTAAGACTTTCTGCTCTGAAACTTCCTTAAGCTGTCGGGAAGGCTTGTGCTGGTGTTTCGGTTCATCGGCCCTGCTATGCCCTGTTTGGCCTGCGCGTTGGCGCTGCTCGGCTTCAGGCGATGTCTAAGCGATATGACTGGCTTGCATGGTTTCGGGCTGAAGAGCCCTCAATCTGCAGAAGTAGACATATGCTGAAATAACCCTTTTCTGCAGCTCTTTGTGAAAATGTTCTTGGCAAACTACATGTGTAAAAATATGTGGCGAAGATTGCAAACCAGGAAGCAGCTAGCTGGGGGCAAGACAAAGAATGAAAAGATGCCGCTGCAAATTGGTACAGTAGCCCTGCCGCAATTTAGACTTACCGCAAGCAGCAAAACATGTCCCCACTTTCGAGAAGGACTCTGAATCTGCTGCCAGGCAGCCGCGGCCGCCTCTCGGCCATGCCAGAGATGCTTGTCCTGATCGACGCCTCACTTGGCAGATGCTCAATGTCAAACGAGATGCACATGCCAGTCATGTGCAAAGACTTGTCTGATGTCCCTGGGCTCACCTTCGAGGACGAGCTGCTCCTTGGACATGAGATGACGACGAAAACAAAAGCATCTCTGACGTTCCATTCAGAGATCTCGAAAACCGAGCCAGGTCTCACCGCTGCTCTGGGAGTGGCGGATACGGGTGCCCTCTGAAGTGGCACTGATGCTCTGCATGGCGGCAGCTTGGACAAAGCAAGTGAGAAAGAGCAATGAATTTGGCTCGATGTGCTGTGATTCTGGTTGCATCGTTGTAGTGTCCGTTGTTGTGGCGCATCAGGGCTGTACTAGACAGCTGAACGTACATCCACCATGCAAGGACGAGTACTGTGGACGCCTCTCATCAGATCTATGTGAGCCGCTGTAAGCCTTGCAGCTATGTGCTCCATGGGCTACGACAGGCTGACAAGCAAACACTGGGTGTGGTTGCTGCTGCATCCTCGGAACCCCAGTCTGGGGAACTAGCCCGGTGCACGACACGGAAGACCTGCAAGGACAATGTAGGCTTCCGACGACAGTTGGAATGAGACGGATATGCAGTGGATGCTCTGGGAGACTGATGGAGGACCTTCTCAGTGGGACAGCTATGACTAACATGCTTTCCCTGGAAGAAACAGACAAGAGTGACTCGCAAACGGGTTGTCGATCAGATCTCATGGAAATAGCATGCAAGAACAGAAGATTTGAGTTTCTCAACCTTGAGACGCTTACCGATCATGGTGCCTGGGCATCTGTGTGGCTGCGCCGTGAAGCGACCTCGGTCAAATTGTGCTGATAGCAGCGATTTTTTCAAGCACCTCAAGCACGGCCTAGGCGTGCTATGTGATGCCAGATTGCTGTGCTGTGTCACGGCACTCTACTCAATTCTAAGTTCCATATCTCTGCCTGCTAGCAAGCAGCTGTGGCAACACCCCCTTCGCGTAGGCCAGTAAGCAAATCAGCAAGACTTCAGGAATGAAGCTGCCGGGCCCGGTCATAAGCACGGAGAGGAGCTGTTCAGGCTGTGCGTGTGTGTGCGTGGGTTTGGGTTTTGATCTCGTGCAACTGTTCTGGCAGGTGCATGTGCGTTTGGCTCACGGGCCAACTTTCCAAAAGCACGAGCGACGAGCCAAAAATGGGAGCGAAGCGGAGTGCGGAGCTTTAGTGAGCAAAGCATCCCAAAGCGTCGAAGGTCTCATCGCCTTCAGGAGCCGCTCGAAGACGTGGGCTGCCTGGCTCTCATCCAGGACCTCAGAAGAGAGGACCCTTTGAAATGAGGCTCTCTGTCACCCGAGCCTGCTCATGCAAAAGCCAAGGGTTTAGTGGCAACTGAGAGCCCGTCGCTTGCAGGCTCGCCTCGTCTCAAGATCGAAGTAACGAGGGACTGAAATGATACTTCCTGAGCTCGGAACCTTGGGTAAATCTATGCAAGTGCTTGACCGTGGAGTCTACCCAACGCGACACAAATGCCTGCAAGAGCATCGTTGGTCTGACAATGGCGGTTTGTGTCAATGGCCGATTGTCGACATGATGCAACACGCAGCATATGCCTTCACCTCGTCGGGAGCTGACGGATCTCGCATGTATTTCAAGGCCACCTTCCCGACAGCAGTGAAATTCTTACTACGCTGCACAGCCAAAACCAAGGTGTCTGTCTAAAGCAAAACCGTGAATTGGGAACAGCGACCACGCCTTGCGACCTTCATCGATGCTGTCATAGGCTTTCTTCCGCGTCTGCCAGGTTTTGCAAAAGCAACATCACGTCCTCATGTTGTCATGAAGCTCGAAGTCCAGTTGTTGAGACGCTGAACCATCAGTCAGTCGTCTCACACAGCTGGTCTTCGTAGCATCGTAGACACGTGAATGCGGCTAGGCATGCATGGCAGGTGAGCCGTGTCCTTGCCAGACAAGCCCATCGAGTCGAGAAAGTCCCACAGCTTTGGCAGGTATCTTTGTTCCTGACAGCAGCATTTTCAACTCGGCATCTCTTCCTGCAATCTCCTGCAAACCACTTGCGCTCCTCGAAAGCCCGATCGTGCGCCGCCAGGACCAGCCGCTCCAAGTCTGTCTGCGGCCTTCCAGGATTTCAATGCAGGGCCACAGTCTACTTGCCCGGCTTCGGCATGGCACTTCTCCGGTCCCGCCCGCGAAAGCTCACGGAGAGCTGAGATGGCAAACTCTTCTTGTACAATCCAAAACTGTCTTCGAAAGCCTTCCTTACGACCGAGCCCCCTGCACGTCTTCAAGCACATGTCTGGGAAAGAACTCCTTCGAAAAAACTGTGAGGGCAAAAAAAGAGGAGCAGCTGGCGTTCTGTGGTCCTTGATGCCAGCATCCAGAACGAAGACGAAATCGACTCGGTCCAACCAATGCCTCGACAGCTCGAAAGCAGAGCTCGGCCAGCTCCTCGGGCCTTCGGCGGGCCCCCCTTGGGCTACGGCCGATCGCCGATGGCTTGGAAGATCGAGGAAAACGCCGAGTCGGCAAAATCATTCACCAAAACCATCCATGACCTGTGCCACGAGCACTCCGCGCAGTTGTTCTTTGATCCGGACTGGGTGCCTCGCCTCTCCTTGAATTCTAACGACTTGGCTGCCTTCTTGAAATAATCACCTCGGGCTTGCACATCCACTGCGAACAAGCAACATTTGACCTATCCCGTCGTAAAGAGTATCTTGCTCCCACTCTGCGCAATGGATGCAAGGCATTGCTGCCTTTCCCTCACGCGTCCAACCGCATGAGGCTCGAACGAAGTCTCTTGCAAAGCTTGGCAGGCTCCCATTCCTGACGGGTGGCAGGAACACCGCCTGCAACCCTGTGTTTCACAAGACTTGGACGCCTTCTCCAAATGTTGGACAGGCTCGATTGCTTCCGTCACAGCATCAGCTAAGTCTCCTTCCATTATCAAAACTCGTAGATCCCCAATGGCTGAAAGCCGGAATGGCACGGCAATAAATTGCTGGGAAGCCCTTCCGGTATATGATGAAGGCCCAGCTGTTGACAGCGTTGACATGCGCAGCTACTGATTCAGGGCTTGATTCCAAACCGAGAGCATTTCTTGCGACTTCAAGAAGTGCTCTCCATCACTCGGAAAGCAGTACTGAAGAGTCAGGCCATTTTTGCACAACGTCCGACGTCCCCACATTTTCTGGGTGCAATTCGACCTGGGCGAGTCCCTCATAGAGCCACCGGCTGATGCTACGTGATGCGTGCGTGTCGTCCTCGCAGGGAGTGCAGGGCCCTGACCGTTAGCAAGACACAATGCTTCCTATTGTGGTTTGATCCGCAGCTGTACAGAAGTTTTTGGCTCTTTGACAAGACTGTTGAGAGCTGAGAGCTGGCTACTCTGAAAAACAAACCGACGACCCAGAGACGAAGGCTCGATACTCCGCGCAGGCGGTAGGATTGCTTGATCTGACATAGATTCGAAAGCCTGTGGGGGTGATGTCATCGTGCTGTCCAGCGAACTTCGCAAGTTTGAGCTTTGCATTCAAAAGCCGCGGCCACTTGCGATCCAGAGACGATCCTCGTTCCTTCTCCAACGTGCCGAAGTTTCGAGAAAACACGGTCAAATCACTCTCGGTTTTGATTGCCGGCACTCAGAGTGCTTCTCAAACGCTATTGCTTGCAAGATGTTAAGCAGCCAGCTCCCTGCCAATGTCGAGTCCAACAGTGTTGGCTGAGTTTGACAGGCGGCAGTCGGCATGACATCCAATCCGCCCACTAGTGCTTGGATCACGTAGGCGAGGCAGTACCTATCAATCCTATCAATCCTAGTCATTCTCCAACGTTCCCGTCGACAGGTCCTTTTGATCTCGATGCAGCAACATGACCATGGCATGTCTTTGGGTCCCGTCGCTGCCAGTACGAAAGTCTGGGCGCTCAATGGCGCTCACAAGACCACTGGGATGACCTCGTTCTGAAGGTGCTCATCCTGGAATGCATGGGCACGGCTGTTCTAGAAACGACAACGCACACAAGAGCTTGGGCCTTGCGCTGCAGCTTTTTCACATGGGTGGCCACAAGGAAACCTAAGTAGCCTGGCGCTCTCTGAAGGCTGCACATGTGACACAAGCAGCATGCCTCTTTGCGTATGATTGTGCACACAATGGACTACGGAAAACGCCTAGGCTGCAAATTGGTACCGTTGTCCAGACCTGAGTTTCGACAGCATGCTACAAGTAGAAGCACCACACGCCCACGGCCACACAGCTGAGCAGCGGACAAGGTAACTAAAGTAGACAAGCGATAAGCCACAGGCACCCTTCCTCCTGAGACTGCGCTGTCGATACCTCGCCTGGACCTGCCTAGTTTTCAGCTCTCCTGTCGACCTCTGGGTCGCTCGTCCACAGGAAACCAACCAGGTTCAAGACCTGCACAGCGTAGCGGCGCAGCTGATCTCCGCCATGACTGTGCACTGTGTGCGTCAGTGCACATTGTGAAGAAACCATCATGACAAAAACTGGAGCCGTCTCAAAGCCCGGCCACGAGGATGGTGAGAACCGCAATGCGGCCAACAACAGCCTTAGCACAACGCTTTCGTCTCAAGCAGATCCAGGCAGATATAGCTTTGCCATCAGGGCAGTGCGTTAGGGTCTGTGACGTAGGCCAGCCCGCTAAACACCAAGGTAAGAAAACCAAACCTGCCATAGCGCGGGGACACTGGGCGGCCTACACACCTTTTTGCCATGACCATGGGTTTTTCAAGCGTGCCAGGCCGGACCACATCAGGATACCATCCTCGGCGAGACGAATCAGCACGTTAGAGCGACGTGGCATGCCTCCGAAGCAACGGCCTCAAGTCCCTGCAACATTAGGTCTAGCATCAGCCTTTGGCCGGCTGAAGTATCGACCCAAGGCGTGTTGAGCAAGCTAGCTACCTCGCAGTAGACAACTTTGGGGTTGTGCGCATGTGCAGACAAGTCTCCAGGTTGCGGGGACAAACGCTATCTCTATGCCTTGGTGTCGAGTGATCCACGTCTGTAGAACACCCTTCGGCAGCTCCTGGCTACACGAATCGCTGGGCCGAGGCAACGGCTCCCATCCTGCGAAAACCAGAACGATCCCAAAGATGAAGGGAAAGCCCACGTAGCAGAACCTGAGAGGTCCACACATCGGCTTTGAACAGTCTGACCCAATGAGCTCAAACATACCGGATTCTGCCCTTGCTGAGATCGAGCACTTGCTGCAAGAGCTTAGCAGCAGCGGCATGGCCTTGTCTGAGTGAAACTGCGATCGGCTGCGAGCCAAGATCTGAGCCTGCCTTCACCATCCGGAAAGTCACGGGCTGCTGCGACAAGCTCGGATCTGACAGCAGGTCTCAGGTCTGTGCATCTCACAAATGCTCAACAAGCCCTTCCTTCCGGCGCTTGTGATGCCATGCAGTGCAGCTCAGAACCACTCCTGACATCATCGGGAGTGGGCCACTGCTTCCCGCACCCTGGGCTGGGGGTGGCCAGGACCTTGCTCAACACGGGAAGAAAGAACGAAGACGTTCCAAGAGTCCAAAGGTGTCAGAGTGCCGAGTGCAGAGCGCTCCGGCCAGGGGTTGCTGACCATCGTCAACCTGCTGGCAGCGCTAGCAGCGTCTTAGAGAGGCTGTCAACCTGCTGGCAGCGCCTGGGAGTATCCCACAAAGCCCTTCACCATCGATGCAGCTACACCTTGCTTCAAGGCTCCAGTCTTCTCACAGGCCTTTTGAGACTCTGCGCCGCAAGCCATCTAGACTGAGACTGCCAAACCTGGGCCACAAACCGAAAGCACTGCGTCCTTGATCCAAAGCTCCTGAGTAGTCCGCGTCCTGCGGTCGCAGTGGCATCCCGACCCTATCCGAAGGAGCGAACTGCGCTGCAGGGCATGATTGCAACAAGAGGCACTTAGGCGGCACTCTGGCGTCTCTTGTTGTAGTCCAGTGACTTTACCAGGCTCGGCCAAGCCGAAGCTGGTCCAAAGCTTCTCTTCTAGAGTTTTTCTACCAGTGTGCCCACATGCCACATACGAGAGCCCCAACTTCTTGCCTATCCGGAGATTCTTCAGAGGCCCATTCCCGTCGTTCCAGTTTCGGATTCACTCGAACAGTAGTTCTGCGTGGATCGCACGGATCGAGCTGTTTGTCTCAAATAATCATCACGTTCACCCTAGGCTTCTACTGAACTGCGCTCACGAACCCAGGATGCAGCCTTAGGCATGCAGACTGGTGAAAATCTGACTTCAACGAAGGCAGCGGTGTTCTCGGCGGGCAGTCTTCTGCTAATTGCGACTGATTCGCATCTTCGCAATCGGGCATCCTTCTTTGCTGAACAATACAGACAAGGTGCCACAATGAGAGAGGTCGGTGCAGGTCTGTGCATCAACGCTGCAGTTTGTAAGCCCGGTTGCAGCGTGGAGCAGAGGAGACTTTTCTCATCTCCGCCAAAATGAGTGTAGGTTGAATTCAGATGGTGGGATAAACACTTGTTTAAACACGCGATGCGGCAAGAAGATCGGCTGCAGAATCGGGCTTGCACGACCTCTCGATGGTTCAAGATATCTGACCACCGCCTCTCTGGACATGATGATGCATGCGTAGGTGAGGTGGTCGCGGGCTCCTCACATTCTGCAACCGAAGGGAAGGGAAGGGAAAGAAACCCCCTCAGGTGCAATACTTCGTCGGGTGCATGTTGCAGCCCTCACAAGAAAGAATGTGGCTGGCGCGGTGAAGGCAGGAAACGAGCTCGAAGAATTTGACAAAGCAGATCCAGCGAAGAGTCTCCGAGTGTCCCTTCTGCTTCAGGCTTCTCCCTTCTCCGCTTGTCGTTTCCTTGCCCACAGTCCCAGGAGTCCCAGGAGTCCCAGGCCTGGCTCGGAAAACCCGAGAGCCGAAGCCTGGCGGCCCACCGGCTCACCAAAAAACTCTGAAATGCGGCACAGTCGAGCTCGTCATGCTCGTTTTCCGAGCCCAATCTCCGCAAAGCCCGCAATCCCCAACTGCATGCTGCCTTCTTTACAGCGAACCTTCGCCACTCCTATCATCCAATTAGCTGGCTGAAACTCCGGTACAAAATGCAGGACAACACCACAAGGGTGAGGCAACACGCTCGAGCAGCAACGATGCAGTTTTGCGTTGGAAAGAGCTCGCATAATACGGAACGGCAAGCCTTGCACGACTGAACTCGAACCGCTGGCAGTGCAGAAGCTCTTGCTTCCTCGGCACCAAGAAGGCGATAACACAACACCGCCGAAGCAGCAGATTAAACGTGGCGGCGATGCAATCAATCGAAAGTCAGCCCGTGGAACTCGAAGAATGAAGGCCTAGCTGACAAGGCATTAGAGCTGAATCGATTTTCCGAAGTTGGTATGCGCGGCTATTCAACCTAGGGCTCATGGCCGCTTTTGAATGCAGTCCACAGACAGAACCGACGGGCAACAAGAGTTGGAATTCCACGTCCACGAGCTTTGGATGGACATAACGCTAGGGTGCGGCCCTGCGGCACTTACCGGCCTGTCCCTTCACAATGTCCATGTGTCCTCATCAGCTGACGGGGGGTCAATACCTCGGCTCGAAAAGAGCACGAGAGCCGCTGTATTCCAGAGTGCACCGAGGCTTTCGCCGACCCAGCTTCGATACAGCAGCTCAGCTGCACTTGGCCGAAGCGCACTGTCAACCTGGTCTTTGTTTGCGTCTCCAACACGGATGCTCGCACAGCAACGCTCCAGCTAGGCACGTGACGCACAAGCTCTCCTTCACTATCTCCCGGCACTCCTAAGTAGCAGACAGAAGCTTGCAGACTTATAGGCCAGCAACTCCAATTGCTACTTTCGCGACTTGCAGATTCCGGAATGCTTAATAAATCAACGGTGTCGCGCCTCGTCCCGCTAGTAACCGCTAGCACCTTGGACCTGCGAATGGAAGCGCCTGGACCTCTCTTTTTCACACTCATACACACACAGAGACACACAATGGAAAGGCTTCGGCACCATTCGTAGGTTGGAGCTGTTTGAATTGGGAAATGAAGTTTAAGCTCATTAAGACAGCATTTATATGCCAGAAATAAGATAAAGCTGGACATTTCAGATTAAGCTCATTAAGATAGCATTTAAATGCCGGCAGCCAGAATCATGAAGCTCATTAAGATAGCATTTAAATCGTGGAAACCCGCGAAGGATAACGGGCTTGAACCAATACCTTGACAGAATGAGTATCAAAACTACCTTTACTAGAATCCAGTGGGCCCCAGCGGGCTGCTATCTCGATTTTGAGCTCATTAAGATAGCATTTAAATCGTGAAAGCCGCTTCTTAGGCGATTAAGCGAAACATGTATCTTTGCACCTGTGAGCGGGCTGCTATGGGAGATGAAGCAGGAAGAGGTTGACGCTGGCGGATCATTCTTGAAGAATGTGATGCCATGACCCAAAGTAGATATCACTAGCCCAAAAGTAGTTGAGTTGGGTTCGTGCCCGGAATCAGCAACGGACCTTGCAATCGACGAGATGCTACTTCACGGATGTACTATGAAATCAGTGTGACGAGGCAACTTCGTGATCACGGACCGCTCGTTGCAATCGCGGCTTACTTAATGCGAATGCGTTCGCTTCGCTCACTTACTATGGGTCATAGTACAAAGAACTAGCTCGTTCACTCCGTTCACTCGCTGTCTTTTTACTTTGCCACTGGTGACGAAGTCACCGCAGGAGGAGCGAAGCGACCAAACGAGGATCGAAGATCCGAGTCTATAAGGAGTCTAAAACAGGCCATTCAGGGCCTGTTTTAGACGACGTAGTGTATTCTTTTCTTTTGCGGAATGCTTCTCATTCCGAGGTTCGTAAGTCTTGCCTTAAGCAAGACGTTACTCACGACTCGTAAAATGCAAGCATCTTACTCGTAGGACTCGTCAGAAAGAATTTGACTATGAAATCTTCGACTTGATAATCAAATTATTACTGACTCGTAGCGGAAATGATGATGATGATGATCGGGGATCATCATCATTTTTGCTTATATATACCTACTTTAGAAAAGAATAAATCGCCCGCGCACGCACACACATGCACGCCTGAGAAGCATAGAAATTTTGAGGGACCGCCCCGACGACGGTTGGCCCAGGCTTTGTATGAGTTTTACCCAGTCTAAAGAAGTACAGCCGACCATTCCGGTGGTCGACGTGCACCCCTACTCCCCCAAACTAGCACCTGTGTGTGTGTCGGACCCGGCCAAGGGATTTGCGAAACAGATGTGATTCACTATGAAAAATAGCAGTAAACACAGAGCTGCAACGTCCTTCACAAACTTTTTCAAAACTATCACAGATTAGGGCTGAAGGTCGTGGTGGTGAATCCCCCATCATATGGCATAAGAGCTCATGATAGGATTTCGTGCATTCAGCGTTAAATCAGCTTTATTTCAAAGAGTTTGCTGATGAAACACCTCATCACACCCACCTGCTACAAAACGCAAAAGTGGGCTTTATTTGGGATTCCTGGGTAACTGAATCCTAAATCTAATTCTCCAATTAAACCAGGAGATAGCGGACTTGTGATGCTATGCACATGTCGATCATAGAGTTCGGAATTGTAATTATAGTGAAATGTGTATGAAAACTCCAATTCAGTAAAAAGTAGGTAAATTCTCTATGACCACTGTCGGCACGAAATCATAGTTTAGTAGCAAAGTTATAGTAGTACTGTGATAAAACTTGATAACAAAATTATGCCTCTTGACTAAACTATGTCCGATTTAACACACTTAGAGCACTCGGTTACCTTATTTTCAGGTGTCGGCTTCGAATATAGACTGCAGCTTTCTGAGTATACTCGCCGTTTCTGGCGATATGACTTGAGAAAAGAAGACAGCAGTTGACCTTTCAACGTTTGCGACAGGACTGCTCACCCAGATTCATACTGGGCCAGAGGCTACGGACTACAACGCATGGCGTACTAAAATCATGCTGAAAATGTAGAAACTGAGTGTGTGATTTTGGTTGGAAATGGAGAACCAAGAAATCTATCTTGAAGATAGCAGCGCCGGCTTTATCACTATCGTGATGTTACGCAACATGTTTTTGTAAGGGATTGATGCTCACAGCTTGCTTACCTTGCAGCTGAATGATCTCCAAGTCTCACTGCTGAAGGTAGCCCATCCCGGTGCATCGCATTGGACAGGCTGCGAGATGACTGCATCCATGAAGGAATTCCTGGCAACCATACGATGCTCAGGCATAACACGCGTCGTCTAAAGCCACTCTCCTGGATGAATATTTCGACAGCCGCCGGGGCAGATCCCCGCGAAGCATGAAGTGCAAGCACCTGTGAGAGAATACAGTCGGCTGTAGTCAGTCTGGACAATTGCTATCCGCTCCCCAAACAACCACCATCTACTAAGCGAAGCAGACGGACTTTTCAACAGTTGGTCGTAAAGGTCGCTCCGCTTGCTATGTCCAAAAGGAGCCGATAGGGCCCTTGGACAAACTCAAGTGGGCAGAAGATACCCAGGAGTGGGCGGGTGGGCAAAAGATGGGTATCGTCCTTGAGACCAAAATGGCCACGAACGATACTTTACGTTAAAATAACCCACCATCCACGCTCGCAATTGTCACTACAACAAGACGCAGGCTGTGTTTATCTCGACAATTGCTATCCGCTCCCCAAACAACCACCATCTACTAAGCGAAGCAGACGGACTTTTCAACAGTTGGTCGTAGAGGTCGCTCCGCTTGCTATGTCCAAAAGGAGCCGATAGGGCCCTTGGACAAACTCAAGTGGGCAGAAGATACCCGCATGACCTGACCAACAACTGCCAAATAAATGTCCGTCCCGCCTGCTTA